GCACATGGGGCAGGCAGAAGGGCTGGGGTGGAAGATGATGGTCGTGCTCCTCCAGCAGCCGGACGAGGTTAGGGTGCCCCACCCCCATCACAGACACGGGAGCCTGGGACGGGAGGACAGCCCCGGTCAGTTCTCTGCGGCTGCATGACAGACCATCCTAGGACCCCACAGCCAGCGCAGCAACCACCGGCCGGACTCTCATTCCAGCTGGTCTCTGGCCCACAGAGCCTGGCTTCAGCTGTCACCTGCAAGCCAGCGTCCAGCTGTCAGCTGGGCCGAGCTGGGCCGGTGGCCAGGTTCCCGGGGTGGGGTGCTAGGACAGAGCCCAGAGATTGCACCTGCCGCCTTCTCTCTGTGGGTCGAGCCAGCCACGCCCTTGCTCCCTGATGGATGCTAGGAGGGCACGTGGTGGGGAGACACCACCAGAAAACCCAGGACTGCTGTGCTTTTAGCAAAGCACGAGTGGGTCTCCTGACTGCTCTCCTGAGAGTGGACCTCCAGAGCCAGACGTACCGGCCAGGCCCTCTTGCTCGCTGAGCCTCACAGGACAGGACCACATGGGAGCTGGGGCCACACGTGGCCTCCCGCGCAAGCGGATGGAACAGGAATGAGAAGCAGTAAGGCTGAGGGAGTCTTCTGGAGACACCACCCAACCGCGTCCTCTGGGTCAGAAGGTCGGCCCGGGGCAGGGACTTGGCCTGAGCATCCTTTCAGGTGGGAGCAAGGGCTCAGGCAGAACCCACAGGATGAAGGGAGGCGGCCTCGGCCGGGGGATCTCAGCCCATTTCGGGGACTGAGAAATCGGATGGAGCGGAGTAAGGGAGCCCGTCGGAACGTTCACGGAGGGGCTGCGGGGGCAGCCGCCTAGCTAAGACCAGAGAGGAGCCCAGCTCACACATGGCAGGAGTGGGTGGAGGTGAGGGACACGCCGGAGGCTGGGTTGTCAGCAGCTGGACGGTGGGTAGCGGACCCCCAGAGCCCTCTTACGCAGATGCACAACCCTGCTGGCCCACAGCCAGACTTACTCTGGAGGGAAAAATACCAGGAGGTCCTTCCCTTAAAGTATTTCCTGATTTCGACAGTAGTTGCTGTCGAAAGTGCTTGTGCCAAATTCTGGCATTAAGAGATCCCACCGTAATGTCGACCCCCACCCCCGTTCATCTCACACAAAGCCTGAGGCTGGGAGGCTGCTCTGTGTCCTTCAACATTAAACACGAAGTCAAAGCTCGCAGGCGGTGTGGGGAGCCCGCACCCCGACAGCAGGTCTCGATGAACGATGGGAAAAAGCGTTCAGAGGGAACACTGTCGTCCAGGAAACAGAAGACAATAAAAGAAAACAAAATTTCTAACAGATGTTAGACAATATTGCTTCCACAGCGGCACAGGGCACAGAGGGAGAAAACCAAAACCAAACACTTAGGAAAGCATTCTTGGGAGACTAAGTGTATAAATCCTGGGGGAAGTCATGTAGAAGTGCCGGGAGTCAGAACTGAGGAAACTCACGGCATAAATTAAAAAAACAGAATTCCTATTCTATTCATAAATCCGTAGAACAGCAGCACAAGAAAACCTAAAACAGGAGAGAAAAACACAAGAGACAAAGAGGACCCCTGGGGGTCCAGCCCTTGACTGACAGCAGCCCCAGGGAGGGAGGGGAGGCAGCCGGAGGCAAGGGGTTCGAGGGCGCTCCCTGGACCAAAGGCTGGGAGACCTCCAGCCGGTTAGTGTGGAGCTTGGATGAAAAGGTCTCCAGCTAAGGCCCGTCCCTGAGAAACTGCAGAGCCCGAGGAGCAAGAGCTGACCTGGGGAGCTCACGGAGAGAAAGCGGCCTGCCCCCTACAGAGAACTGGACTCCCCGCAACAAGGGTGTGGACGCCCTGGGGCCTCCAGGCTCCGGAGAAGATGGTCTGCAGGCAGCACACCTGCTGAGCAGCTCTGAGGGCACAGCAGCGTCACGTGCAAACTCCCCCAGGCTCCGCGAACGGCCGCCACACCCCCACTGCTGGGCAGTGGCGCCAGGACTAGCTCCAGCAGGCAAGAACGTAAACCGGAAGGAGGAAGACTTGGGGCAGAAATTCGGGAAAACACAGATCCAAAGGCAGGTGTGAGGCACAGAGCTTGGAAGGTGGTGGGAACGTGACGTCAGCTCCCTGTGGAAGAGAAAAAGGCAACGGAATGTCCAGGACGAGCAGTCAGACCACACTGTGGCGAACAGGCTTCAGGGATGGGGGTGCCTGACCCGTGGGGCGGTTCTGAGTGGTTCCGAGGTTAAGGCTCCAACAGGACTGCTGGGCTATAGGGACCACGATGAACTCTGTTTATAGACAGTTGCAGAGCCTGGGAAATCTGACCCCGAGGCCACCTGGCCACGCCGCAGGATGTGAGTCAGGGACAGTTTAGGATCCCCTGGAGCCGGCCTCCTAGGTGTGTCCTTGGGCCCCTCCTCCGGGCGATGTTCCAGGGCCATCGTCCTGGACTCTTCCAATGTTTGCACAAGGATGCCCAGGCCGCCGTGGGGTGTAGCCAAGTGGCCTTGACTCCTCTCCTCCCAGGGGCACCGGAGGAAGTGTGGTCACACCCGCAGCCTAGGTCCTAGAAATGTTCTCTGTCACCACCTGGCAGGAACCACCTGCAGCTGAAGTTAGCAAACTGAACTTGGATGTCCCCGGGGAGGCCAGCGCCCTGTGGAATCACGCTGGAGCCAGGGGCAGAAGGAAAAGTCAGAACACCAGTCTTGTCTTTCCTGGAAAGTTTCATGTTTTGTTCGCCATGGATTTTTGGGGCAGGAAGTTTTGAATTTTAAAAATATTGCATTAAAGTGCTATTTAAAAGTGGGGAGGGTGTAGCTCAGTGGTAGAGTGTGTGCCTAGCATGCACAAGGTCCTGGGTTCAAGCCCCAGCACCTCTGTTAAAATGAATAAATAATTGAATAAATAAATAAACCTAATTACCTTACCCCCCAGAAAAAAATTTTTTAAAATCCTATTTGCCCCATGAGTGAGGTTCCTCGTGTCCCGGCTTTGAAATTCACGCCCGAGGTGCGGGCATCACTCCGCAGCCTCCACTTTTGGTGCTGGGACTCAGACTGCATCCCCAGGAGGAGGGTGCAGGGAGGAAGCCCCTTCTCAGCCATGCACCCCTCCCACCAGGAAGCAGGCTGGGGGGGCTCTAAGTCCCCCCTGCTACTTGGCTGTTAAGCTGATCATGTATTACACAGGCACGACCAGACAACTTACAAATGTTTAAGCAATTAAGTGAATTCTGAATTTAAAACGAAAAGCAGGTCAAAGCCAAGGATCAGGCAGGTTTACAAACACAAACATGTGGCGCTGTCTGGGGAAGGGTGTGGGGTTCAGACCTCGTGGACAAGGAGGGACCGCCCACTCAGAGAGGAGCTGGGCCATGCGGGGCATCACGGCTGGAAGGCGGCTCGTCAGCCTCGAGAGCAGGGACACGTGACTTCACACAGGATGCCACTGTTCCTGGGAAAACGGCCCAAGACAGTGCCGCAGACAAGTGACAAAGAAAGCAGAACAGACACGTCGAGAGAGGAGAAGATGGCACCAGAGAAGCAAGGAGCCTGGACAGAGGTGTGGTCGCACCCAAGGGAACGCGGTGCCCAGTGGGATGCACCCTTCGCGTGAGGGCCTGTGTGTCGAGAGCAATTCGGATGCAAACGTGACTGCTGCTCGGGGGAGGGCAGCCCCTTGGGGGGCAGGAGAGGAGCCTCCTCGCTGTGGTGGAGGAGGACCAAGGTGACCTTGAGAAAACAGCAAAACAAGATCGGGGGGAACACGAGAAAGAGCACGTTTAGAGGAAAGCGGCGACTGCTCTTCTCATTCTGACTTAAACTGTGACTTAAATGGTCACGTGTAAAGACAGGTGTTCAGACGAGGCTGAGAAATAAAATACAAGGTACGCTTAAAAAACCCTGAAACAAACAGTAAACCGGAAAAACGCTGAAAACACAGAGAAAAATGGAGCAGCAGTCGTTGGTGAGGTGGACATGTGTTAACGGCTGTGTCGATGAAGATGGTTCCAGGGAGCACATGGCATTGTCACCACGTGAGCAGTGTCCTGGTCACGAGAGCGAGGCCAAGGTGTGGAAGGGGAGTGGGCGTGGAGCTCAGAGAAGAAGGGACGTGCTGGGGCCACAGGGAAGGCATGAAGGGCAGACGGGTGTCCCCACGGCGAGGGCACCTGTCCCAGGGGCTCCAGGCGCCGGACGTGGAGGGTACAGCCCCCAGGCAGTCTGGCCGGAGCGCTGGGTTCCCCACCCATCGAGGGCACCTCTCCTGCACAGGGTGGTGGTGGGGGTCAGATCCCAGGGACTGGCGCTGAGAACGCCCAGGAGCCCCCTGCTTGGCGTGCGCGGTGGACAGAGGGAGAGAAGGTGGGCCTTGGGCTCATGCTCCTTCACAGGCTGCCTTTTCCACGGGAGGAAAACAGGCTGAGGCCCAGGCACCGGGACACTCGGCTAAAGACGGCAGAGGCAGGGCTGGGCCATGACCTGACCTCCCGTCCCAAGCTGGAGAAAGGGCCAGGAGCTGGGCCTGTCCTGGGGGGCCAGGGAGGGGACCTGCCTGTGACCCAGGCTTCGCAGGGCAGGTCCACATGGCCCAGCAGCCCTGAGAATCCAGACTGGGCTGGGCTGCCCAGCTGTCCACCAGAACCCAGGATGCTGGCCCAGCCCTGGGACCAGGATTCGTGACTCATCGTCCTGGCCTTGCCTGGGCGTCTGGTTCTTAGAATCCCACCCCGCCCCCCAGGCCTGAGTGTGTATGACAAGGCCAGAAAGACCCCCAGCTTGAAGGAAGTGCGGACACTCCAGGCTTCCGACCCCAAGCCCCAGAGTCCCACCTGCTTGGCCAGGAGCCTGCAGCTGGAGTGTGGGTCTCGGTGATGCCAGGGGCCGCAGGCACCCCACCCCTGGGGTGGGGTAGGGTGTGGTGGGCGCACTCTGTCTTCCATGTGAAGTGACACAGAACTGTTTCCCAGGCAAACACAGGGGTCCACTCAAGGACTCACTGCTGAATCTTGCTGGCAGACCTCCGAAACCCCCACATCGGGTCCTGGGGGTGGCAGGGAGGTAACAGGACACAGCAGTGCCGTTGGCCACTTTCCCTGAGCTGCCTCTTCTACTGCCTTGTTCTGTGACCTGGGCACCAGCCCCGCCCTGGGGTCAGCACGCTCTGCCACACCTCTGCCTGGCCCAGCCTTGGTGGGTCCAGGAACTCCCATCCACCCTCCCTCGCGCCCTCGCAGGGAATGTGCTGATTACTGATAAACAGGAGGGCTCCCACAGGTCACCTGGACCAAAGGCCTCTGCCTGTCTCCTGGCCAGGACAGCCAGTCAGGAGGGCACATAGGACCGGTGGGGAAGCCAGCTCCTGGGGACCAGATCATGTGGGCCAGCTGGTGGTTCTGGCCCCTGGTGGCCATCTGCATTGCAGACCAGTTCCGGGACCAGGCGGTGCAGATCATGCAGGACACGCCTGCCATTGATGGGTAAGCAGCCCCTGCTATGATGGGCCCAGCAGGGAGGTGGGGTCGAGGCTCCAGTGCCTTGCCTTGGGACAGGAGTGGCCATCTCTGCCGGCACAGCCTCCCCAGCTGCATGTGGCTTTGCCTTTTGCTGCCTCAGCTTCTTCATGGGGTCTCTTCGGGCCTCCAAAGGCTTCAGCAGAGGAGAGCCTGTGGGGAACGGAGCAGGAAGGCGGAAATGACCGGGCCCCCATGGTCCTCGGCCTCTCCATGGGGGTCAGATCCCTGCTCAGAGTGGGTGCTGGGGTCGGAGGACCTTGGGGCCTTGCCTCTTGGGGCCTCAGTCTCCCTAATGAAGCTGCAGGTGAGGGTGGTGTCTGCCCTGGGCCCCCAAGACCCCCGTCTTGGTCCTCTTGACCCTGAGGCCCTCTTGTCCAGCCCCTCCCTCTCCTGCATCCGCCGGGGTGAGCCCCCTCGGGTGCTGCGCATCCGGCTGGGCCTCCTGGAGGTACATCATGCTTCTGTGCCCCAGACTCGGCTCCTGGGCACCTGCTCCCATGGCCCCTCTTCCAGGCAAGACCCTGGCGACATGCTGTCACTCCTTCTCTGATGTCACAGCCAGGCTGGCAGCACCTGTCCCCTTCACTTACCCTCCCACCTTCTGCGCAGAGTCATGCCTGAGCCTCTGATTGTCCCCTACTTCTGCTGGCCCAAGGTCAGGTCTCAACACTGCAGCCAGATGGAGCCTTGGAGACACAAGTCCCAGCTGCAGTCCTTCCAGCTCGAACCCCCACCATTGTGGCTCCACTGAGCTCAGGGGTCAGCCCGGTCCTCCCGGTGGCCCCCACGGCCCCTCGTGGCGCCCAGCTGTGCCATGCCCTTCGAAGACGCTCCCCTCAGTGCCCTGCCCACCCTGCATCCAGCCCCCTCCCTCTGCACCTCCAGGGCCTTCCTGAGCCCTGGGAGGACCCCCCCCCACCGCGCACACATTCCAGCCTCCAGCTCTTTCCACATGGCCGAATCCAGCCCAGCAGAGTGGCCTCTGGTGCATGCTGGCTCTTGGGTGCTGGGAAGTTTAGGGGAACACCCCTGAACTTAGCTGGACAGAAGCTCTGCAAGAAAAGCAGAGGAAACAGGTGCCTTGTCACATGGGACTT